GTGGCGTCAGCCTAGCTCACAGCAACCTCAAACTCCTGGGCTCAGGCGATCCTCCTGCCTCAGCCTCCCGAGTAGCTGGGACTACAGGCATGCGCCACCATGCCCAAAGCTTATAAAGGTGCTATAGGCCTCAATGGCCTCATAGGCCTCATAGGCCTATGCAGAATTTTGCATAGCTATTTTAAACTCATAGCATTGAGGCCTATAGCACCATTATATATTATAATCTAACTAGAGAGACATCCTATTGCAGTTGAGTAATAGAGAGAATGGAAGACATACTATGGTTATGAAAGTTCAGATGATGCAGAAAAGTAAAGAGATTTGAGCTTCCAAAATTGATCACAAACTTGGGCTTAAAGAGCAATACCAAAGCCAGTACCTGAAACATCAGTGGGGTGGTGGCAGAAGAAAAGTTCAGACTCTTGATCATGTGACTTTCAGGATCGTATTTTGACATAAATCCTTTGATTATGACCGTTTTGGCTGTTCCTTGTTCACCAATTAACAGCACAGCCTAAAATAGAGGAGGGGAGAAAGAAATCCAAGAAATGAAATAAAGTGATTGTGATGGGCTGAATTGTGTCCTCGCAAAATTCACATGTTGAAGCCTAAACCCCAGTACCTCAGAGTGTGACTATAATTGGAGATAAGGTCTTTAAAGGGGTGAACAAAGTAAAATGAAGCCTTTAGAGTGGGCCCTAATCCAACCTAACTAGTGTTCCTACATGAAGAGCAAATTTGGATACACAAAGAAACAGCAGGGATGCAGGGACACAGAGAAACGCCACCGGAGGACACAGGGAGAAGGTGCCATCTGCAAGCCAAGGAGAGAGGCCTCTGAAGAGCCCAAACCTGCCAACACCTTGATCCTGGACTTTCAGCCTCAAGAACCGTGAGAAAAGAAATTGCTGTTGTTTAAACCACACAGGCTGTAGTGTTTTGTTATGGCAGCTCTAGCAAACTAGGTCAGTGATCAAAAAGTAAGGAATTATCTTTGGAAAAATAAGCGAAAATTTACTTTCTCACCACTATACAGGAGAAATAATGACTTCATCATGAATTAGAAATATTCAACTCTAATATGTTACTAGGAATAATAAAAAGTATACTGCTTTAGGTAATACCTTCATTTATTCTAAACAGCAACATAAAACCTAAAATACATGCAGGATGCTTCATGTTTTCAAGTGACATTTTAAAATATGCTATTTTTAATAAAAGTTAAAAAGCCATACCTTGCCCTGTTTAGTAATGGTTTTAATTAGAAAGTCAGTCCTCACATTGTCAACATTTGGCACCAGAATGGAGCCATATTCTGGGGTGGTATCGGATGGATACACATATTCCTGGGTACACGTGTTCCAGTGCATCCATTTACCTGGATGAACAAAGAACATTTACATCTTCAAATTAATAATTTAACTCCTAACTGTAATGAGCAGACATCCTTGAAATCTTAGGAGGTCACCTTCCAAATACTCCCCATAAAATAAAGATCATTAAAATTAGAGATCTGAGTATACAAGTATGTGTTAGCTCAGTCAAAATTTCCCAAGGAACAATTCCAAA